TCATAACTATTTTTCAAGTGCTTGAAGCAATGAGGAGTAAGTAACTGCCTGCACATACAGCTGAGGTGAGCTTAGTAAACACGACGACAGGATCACAAAGCACTTGCACCAGGTGTGCTTGGGAAAAAGAATAAGCAAAAAACTTAGCTTCGGTTTTTGGAGACGGCTTACTCCAATCAAAGTGTAAAATTAGACTCCTGAAATTTAATTAAGAATAATCACTGTGCTTTAATGTGTCTACTGAACAGGGTTGTAGCTTGAAGAGATGAGCTCCCCACTCCCACAAACAAAGGCATAAAGACCTGCACCCTGCATCAGCCAAGTGGTTGGTTTATCAACCTCATTCCCCTGGCAAAGGAAGGCACAACTTTAATCGCCTCTGAAGTTTATTGAGATTCAACGTTCCCTATGAAGATTGAAACATACATCTGGTGTGAAGAGAACTTGAGTCCAGTCAATCGGCCCTTTTAGATCAGTCCTCTAGCAGGAATGCCAGCAACTATGTAAGCAAGATGGCTGTGACTACATGCTGATGTCAAACGACAGAAAGCATGAAATTATTGATATTTGGAAGATTGAAGTTTTGAAATAGTGGAAGTAGATGGGACTTGTTTACAGTTTGAGTTTCTTTAACTTCAACAAACCTTTCCTGCTGTGCTGATTCCCCTTATGCAGCAGATTGCCACAATTGTCCAGGCAGTTAACAGGCACAGCACTATGGGCCAGTTGATTCCTCCAGAGTCAGCTATCGAGGTGGTACTACTCAAAGTCACTCGGTAGAAATAATAATCAACAGTGGAGCTCTGTTCACACTCTGCTACAAATCCTATAGGGGCAACAAATACAAAAACAATTATGAATTGTGGATGCTCTCTGTGTGCATTATGTGGACTGAAACTGTATGTATACACACCTGTCCCATTTTCATTAAGAGGACACTGGGTCCAAGGCAGCGGGTTTTGAAAAGAATTGAAGAGATACCAAATGATCCAGGCTACTAGGGTGTTGTAATAAAGTCCAACCAATAAGGACACCAGCATTGATGCTATACCTAAGAGACAACATCATTAATTATGATTCTCCCAGGAAGCCAAATACTTGTTGATAACTTGTGTGTTGTTTTTAACTTACCAACACCTGTCAGATAAGGGTTGATGGACCTCCACACTCCTACACTGCCTTTCCTGAGACGCTGACCAATGGCAAACTCCAGCAACAAGAGAGGCATTCCTTCCAGCACCATCAGGATCAGGTAGGGAATCAGAAAGGCACCTACAACATTTCACGTGATTGGGAGGTAGGACATTTATGATAATATGCATGAAGAGCAGCTTGAGTGCAGGCACATTTTTATTTTATGCCAATGCAGATTTTTCTATTGTCATGCTTAAACATTGGATTGGTGCGATTTGATTGATTTGTTGTTTACGCTAAATGAAGTTCAAGTTGTCTGATTAATAAAAGTGTGTGGCCCATATCACTATCCAGATATCTGCTGCATGTCAAGGTATTATACCTGTGTAAGTAGAGTGTTGCTGATAACAACATCCTTATGGGTCTTCTATAGGTTGAAATGTGACATGTATATAAATGTTTAACAGAAGTTAGGTATTAACTACAGAATACTTGTTTAAGGTTACACATTTGTTGTTATAAGATGCAATAAGTGTATGACTTTAACACATTAAACACTTACAGCAGATTAAAGTATAACATTGATTTATATCCATAAGGATTGTTTTCCCTTTGCTGTAAAGCTGCTTCTACTTTAAGCGTATACATGTCTTTGAAACCTGTCCGACTTCCTGTGTCTAACAGTGAACCTTTTAACACTACACTTTTGAAAACACATACACACAGATGTATGCAGTATGAAGGAATTCTTAGCATTCATTTTCAACTCAACCCAATAAAGAGCTCTGTCTTTAGCTCAGGCCAAAGGTCTTTCTACCGAAGACGTCTTACTTTTGAGAATCATTAATGTACAACAACTTGAAGGAGCTTTAGGACACTTAGTCTTCTGTGAATTACTTATATATTTAACTTTCCTTTTAGCTTTAGGTCGGTAGCCTTTTGCAGGACCAGTTATTTTGTTTGAATTATATTGTTAACTTATCAGATAAACACAGATACATCGAACGATGCCTTTTGTTCCCTTTATATCACAATAAATTGACCCTCGGTAACTTTTCCCCTCTCTAATCTGTCAAACATTAATTCCACATCTTTCGGTCTTACCTCCTCCATGACTTTGACACAAGTAAGGGAATCGCCACACGTTGCCGAGCCCAATGCAGAAGCCCACACAGGTTAAGATGTACTGGGCTTTGTTGTCCCACTTGGGCCTGTCATCCTCCTCCTTATCCATCCTGTCCAGATCCTCATAGCTAGGGATCCGGAGATCCAGTCCGGGGTTAGGAAGTACCAGCCTCATGCTTACCACATGTGCACTGAACCAGAGAAGTAGAGTCTACTGTGTTCGAAGCATTTGTGAGTGGTTGGGGTGCATGTGATACACAGTAGCACGTAGCAATGTTGAAACAGGTTTATGATCTTTTACTTTATCTGTTGTTGGCCATAAATTAGCAAGTGAGTTCACTCTTTCTACTTTGAGCTTTATGTACTTTTAAGTAATATGTACATTTCAAATGTCCAACATTTCATGCCATTCTGCAAGATTTAAAACAATGATTGTTTATATTACAGGTGAGAAAAGATCATTCAAATACTTTGATAATTTGTTAATCCAGTGTTTATTTTTAAGTGCTTTATTTACACTCATTGTCGATGTAAATAGACAATATCAAAAAAGAGATTTCATTTGTTACAACTGTTGCCAGGAGGATCCTTAAGAGCGTCTGTAAACTCATGAAGTTCTGCATGATTTATTTTAATAGCATATCAATTCTCTTAAGTCTCAACTGCTGAGAGGATTATTAACAGATCATAACCCGACAGTTTATGGCAGTTTAAGTGCAGTAATAAACTGAAACTTAAAAATGCTTTACAATAGCCCTCTACAATAAGTACAACAAGACAACAGTGTTATAAAAAGCTCTTTTGCCATTTCACTTTAAATATCTAAAACATACCTACATATTGTTTAAATTCTAACATAACACATTATAATTTGTATATTAGACAATTAGATTAAGTAAACTCACATTTATCAAAAGAGTCTAGACCTTTTTGGGCACTGAGAGTTAGATTTGAAAACCATCATGTTTGCTAAATGTGAATAGCTACAGCTAATAGCAGCTAAGCTTAGCTTTGTTTAAAACGTGGAAACAGGGACATAGCTAGCCAGTCTCAACTGCTTCTTTTTTTGTAAATATTTAGAAAATAAGATATAGCCAGGCTTGCTGTTTCCCTTTGCCTGAGCCTCTATGCTAAGCTAAGCTAAGCTAAATGGCTACTAGTTGTATATTTTATATTTAGAGCACAAACTGGTATCCATCTTCTCATCCAACTCTTAGCAAGAAAGCAAATAGGCACCCAACATATCCAACTACTCCTTTATTTTTACAACACCCACTTACAGGTCAAACATGATATAGCCAGGCAGAAACCAATATCACAGTAGTACGAAAAGTTAGCAGCAATTATTATTTTCTCCAAAATTATATTATTTTACAGATTCCGATTCACCCTCTGCTTTTCACAGACAAAAGTCAGAAGTCATTAGAGTGCTCTTCTGTGATTGTACCAACCCATGAGAAAGACAAAGTATGGAAGCATAATACACAAATAACAGCACCACAAGTCCATATTCATGTTGCTATTAAATATTCTGTTATTCAATTTAAGTAAAAGATATCTACATCTTCATTTTGTAATTCATTTCTACTTTGGCAGAGATAGTGTCCACTATGTCGTCACTGTAGTCCTCCTTTTTGCAGCATTTAGTCTGGATGAATTTGTAGAGGGCGAACGCTGGGACAGCTAAACTGGGAACTCCAGCCAGGATGAAGATGACGACGTTGATCCAGGAGGGAAACGGACGTGCTTCAAGGGTTGGGAAATCCACCTATGGTAAGAGTAAAATAAATGTACAGAAACGTATGAGGTCTGAAATTACAAAGGTGGGTTTCTATCACCATCAATTTTAAAGTTATTTTAAGATAGCACATTTAAAAAACATATTTAAAGGTCCCCTATTATACTGTTTGTTATCAATATATAATAGGTCTCAGATATATACAAAACATGTCTCTGAAGTGTTTGGCTCCAAACACCAAACAGATCATTGCAGCATTACCCATAATCCCCTCTGTTTCAGCCCTGTTTCAAAAGTGCTGATTCTTTACTTTACGTTACTTTAGATGAAAATAAGGAGCCCCTCCCCACGCCCCTCTGAGAGATATTTGGTTACAAAGAACACAATGGTGCTCTAGGAGGAGATTCAGGTGATAAGGTGGGGGGGGGGGTACCTTGGTTGGTGATTGGCTAATGGTTACACAAGTCAAAACATCGTTATGACATCACAAAGTGGCTAAAATCTGATCAGCTCATTTTCAGACAGGTTTTTATATAAATGGATCAGGACGAAAAGAGAGAGAATCTTTTTTCCTGAAACTTTCAGAATCTCTTTCCACAGAGGGGACACATGCTGATGTAGAAAAGACATGAAGAAGTGGATTTTTGATGAGTACACTTACCGCCTCCTGGTCCCACACCAAATATGTGAGACTCTTAGTGATTTGGGTTACAAAGTAGAAAATCAAGATGACGACCATAATGAGTGGACTGACCACCCTCCACGTCACCTGCCAGAAAAGATTGGGTTTGTGGCCGATCATAAACTCAATGTCCTTGTTAAACCTGTAGGAAGCAATAAGAGGGAGACATAATGTCAGCTTAGAGTGTATGAAGTCATCCATGGTTGATAACCTTGAACTTTTATGAGTTAGAGTAAATGAAGCAGCCTGTGGGGCTCTGTGTGTGTTTTACATGTTGAAGCTAAACAAGGAAATACAAACTCCACTCTGATACTTCAATCCCTTTTTGTTCTTACGTAACAGAAAGACTACAAGCAGGGGAGAAAATAAAGCAATATTTTTTACATATTAAACAATATTACTTATAAGCCACATTTTTTACTGCATACATCGACAATGTTATTGAAACATTTATTTTCAACATTCCTTAGTGTCGCTACATCTTAAGACAAACTGTAGTTTGTAATCTCTCCTACTGTATGAGGACTGTTCTTTATCTCTGTTCCAAGGTCAGAATTCAATACTAATTTCTTGCTTTGTTTCAACTTCACAAAGAATTGTCTAACTGAGTATTTGATACCCTCATTGGCAATAACAATAATTGATCGTGTCCACTGATAGCACCATAAATTGCCCATCCCTTGCAATCACTATCTCAAGGTCCGATACCCTAAATATATTACGCTAATGATATAACAGCATCAACATGGCCATAAAGTTTTGCAGCTGATTTCGATTTGCTATTTTTGAATCTGATTGCAAACATGTGGCAAAGTGTAAATGTTGTCTTTGCGCCAAGAACTCCTGTTGGCAGAGAAAAAGAGAAACAATACAATTGAAATGAGCTAGCTACAAGTCCTGACCAACGAGGCGCTGGGGCATTTCTCAGAACTTCAGTCAGGGAATTTTTAATCTGAAAAACGTGTAATATCGTATGATCAGAGGAAAGCCTGCATGTGACACCCCTTAAACAACGAACATTTGATCTAGGGAAAACATTGCTGAGAAAATATAATGTTAAAAAAGGTCTCGTTAAGGTGTCATGTTTGGAGGCTAGAGCTTGGATACATATACACTTCCAGCCATGCAAGCAAATACTCACCTATCTACGCCATAGATGTACATCACAGCAATCATTTCACATAACCCGATGACCAGCAGTGGGATAGAGCCAGCAAAGTTGTCAAAAAGAGCTAGCCAGTAGTTTCCAGATTGCTGGGTAAAGATCAGTCCACAAGCGCAAGAGATTAAGCAAGTCAGACCTGAAATAAAACAATACAAAGAAGTGGGTTCAACCTTTCTGTAAAGCTCTTCAATCAAAATCCTAACCCTATCAAATGGAAAAATAATGGTATATTTATTAGGAAATTTGGGAATTTACCAGTGAAAACTTCTTTGGGCATAGATTTAGGCAGTATGTTGAGGTCCTGCAAAGGAACCACCACTCCTTCTATGTTCCCAAACATAGTCGAGAGACCAAGGCAGAACAGCATGACAAAGAAGAGGACAGCCCATATGGGAGAAACAGGCATTTTGATGATGGCCTCTGTGAACACGATGAAGGCTAGACCTGTTCCCTCCACGCCCTGGAGGAGAACACCAAATATTTCAAACATTGTCCCTCTGTTAAATCACTGAGGTCAGATAAAAAAGTCTATATTCTAATGTCAAATATTCTATGTATCTACTGACCTGACTGAGGAAAGCCTGCATGTCACAAGTCTGTAATTGCAATCCTTGAATGATGTCTGGATTTGTCTGGTTGAATTGGGACAGAACCTGATCGTAGTTGCCATCTGTGATGTTGTTTTCAGGATAGTTAAAGGCATTCATCAGCTTCAAGATGTTGCTAAAGAAAAAAGCACAGCAAGATAAGTGCAGTCTTAATAAGTCAAAATCAAATCAAATCAAGTTTTATTTATATAGCACATTTTGGTCCAGCCAAAGTGCTGTACATATAATAAAAATAGCCTACAGTAGAGACACTTTACAGCTAATTCAACAGCACAGATTGTTCAGAATATCAGTATGAGAAAAAGGACACCCTCTGTCCTTAGACCCTCACATCGTACAAGGAAAAACGTCCAGAGAAAACCCACAGTTTAAAGGGGGGAAATGGGAGAAACCTCAGGGAGAGCAACATATATAGTGAGTTCTAAATATATCTTAAGGCTGCTTTGTTTTGCAATGACTTACTCTGATGTGCAGTCGTCAAATTTCTCCGTGGCCCTAAAGCCGATGATGGAGTAGATGACAGTGGCGGAGTACACAGAGGTGCAGCCATTGATGATCGAGATGAGAACGGCATCTTGCTCACAGTTGTTGCTAAAAGGCAAAAATGGGGTCATGTGAGGGGAGAAGTTCATAAGAAGGTTCATTATATGATGTGTAGTTTAGGCAGTGTACTCACTGAATAGAGTTGTAACTGGAGAAAGAGATAAGACCTCCAAAGGCCAAAGAGAAGGAGTAGAAAACTTGAGCACCAGCATCCAACCAGGTCGATGGATTCATTAACTCATCTACCTTAAAGACAGAACAAAACACCTTAATAAAACGTTTAATTAAGCCAAGATTTCTATAGTAATTATGTCCTGTTTAGATATCTGAACTGCGAGCAAACAATCCTACGCACCTACTGTCCTGGACTTTGTTCATAATTAATATGTGACGCACAATAAAATCTCCTTCATGTGAGATTATAAAAAGTGAATGGACGATTAATCAACTGCTAAACAACATACACTCAGAGATATTTTTAAGTATTTTGAACCAAGTCAAAATCAAGCTCGACTTTCAGCAATGCTAGTATGGAAATTATAAGAGAAGAATGGCCTAAATCACATCACATACTTAATCATAGCGTCAAATGCTAATGAAGGTATATCTTCTTGCCTAACACTTGGCAAGGGTGGTGAAATCTCATCTCTAATCGTCATATTATTTAACTTTTGCAGAATACCCCAGCTATATCCATTCCTTTTTGTGTAGTAGTGTCTGGTAGCATTTTGGTTAGGTTTAGGCAACACAATGACCTGGTTAGGTTTAAAAAAAGATTACAATTTGAGTTCGAATAAGCTATTGACGTCACATCATGTGTCACGGTGACATAGCTTCAGTAAAACATATTTAGATTTTGATTTGACACAGGACATGACTTCTGGTTCCGCCTAAGATGGTCGCAGATGGGTATATATTGGAGTTAGTTAAGCCCAGTGGGTTTCATACAGATGCTCAAGGGTGCAAATGCATCAAATAATTCAAATTGTTTCAAATGTTTTTACACTATATTAGTTAAACTGACAATTGTATGTTTTTCGTTACAGCAGTGCTTACATCTGGTATGAAGAGGAACTTAATACCCTCCATAGATCCTTTCAGAGTCAGTCCTCTGATGAGGAAGATGGTGAGGACCAAGTATGGCAAAGTTGAGGTGATGTAAACAGCCTGAGAAAAGACAAAAAAGAAGATATGATCCTGATACATTCCTTTTTATATGTGATTGAACACATAAGCACATAAGCTGGCATCAATGTTGCATCAAACACTCAGATGTAATGTCCTATTCAAACCTTTCCAGTGGTCTCGATGCCCCGGATGCAGCAAACATAAAGCAAAGTCCAGGCAGCCACCAGGGAAAGCACCATCCACCACTGTAAACCTCCTGACTCATCGATAGCTGTTGAAGTGTTCAGAGTCTCTCTGTACCAGAAGTAGTCAACAGTGGTGCTCCGAGCACACTCTTCCACCAGACCTGCCAGATAAGCAGACAGCAATGGTCAGATCAAGCAGCCTTGGAAGGACATGTTACAGCAGATGTTGCTTTTTTTAGATTATGTCTGACTGTTGTCTCGATGTATGAACGCATACCTGTCCTGTTAGCATTTAGAGGACATTGGCTCCAGGGCAAAGGACTTTGGAAGGAGTTGAAGAGATACCACATGATCCAGGCCATGATGGTGTTGTAGTACATGCCCACCAGAAATGAGACAAGCAAGGATGCAATACCTATAACAAAAAGAAACAATTAGAGTTGTGGTGTTTTTTGTTTTGTTTTACAAGCAGTTATCTGTGTGGATCAGCAAAGTGATCATAATTCTTCCTGTGGGGTGGCATGCATGTCTGTGCCAAAGTTCATGGAAACACACTGTATATAATACAACCACAAATCTTAACCTCATGGGGATGATAAAAGAGAGGTCAAAGGATCACCAAATTGACTAGGATTCATCCTCTGGGGACCATGAATGCCTGAATTTGAGAGTAAATCCATTAAGTAATTGTGTAGAAATGTAATTTGGGAACGGTTGATAGATCGACATATCTGTCATCCATTGAGCACCACAATCTAATGGGCATGTTTCTTCAATTTCTTTTACCCACCAACTCCAGTCAGGCATGGATGGATCGATCTCCACACCCCCACGCTGCCCTTCCTCAGGCGCTGACCGATGGCAAACTCCAGGTGCAGCAGTGGGATGCCCTCCAGGACCAGCAGGATAAGAAACGGGATCATAAATGCTCCTAAAATTTCAATATTGACATCGTTATAATGAGTTAACAATGTGACAAGTCAAGTCATTTAATCAGTTTCAACTTTAATGAAGGTAAGCAAATAACTGTACCCATAGAGATACCAATAAACTTTTGGTACCATATAAACCATTAATAGGAGTATCACTATTAGATATAGCGATCAAGTTTGAGAGAGAAAACGTAAGTAATTCAAGCAACATTTGATATTACCAAAAATAAGTTGGTAGACTATTTTAAAGATTCATTCATCATTCATAACTTTGGAAGACTCAGTCTAGAAAGAAAGAAGCTTACAGCTAAAAAATATATATTTGTAAAACTCTTACAGAACCTTATACAGTGCACAAGGTTAACCCACCATAAAAAAGATACTTAATTTCAAGCTTTCAACATGATTTGTACTTAAAATATATATTCAATATGGTCAGTTAATGTGTGACAAAACCCTGTGTGTTATGGGTGTTAGGTGCTAGGTTACATTTTGACCAAGTTTTTGAAAATCCTCAGTTACTGAAAACAGGTAAAGGCACGTAAAGATCCTTTAATAATTCAGGCACACTGCTAGCTTTCTTGAAACTATAAAGGAGAACAATCAGCCTACCTCCTCCGTGGCTCTGACACAGGTAAGGGAACCTCCACACGTTGCCAAGTCCCACGCAGAAGCCCACACAGGTGAGCCTGCTCACCTGTGTGGGCTTCTGCGTGGGACTTGGCAACGTGTGGAGGTTCCCTTACCTGTGTCAGAGCCACGGAGGAGGTAGGCTGATTGTTCTCCTTTATANTTGATTTCCCCTGCTATGATAATTCATGTTGATACCATTTGGCACTGTGAGTATGGATCAGAAAAGTGATAAAAGAAGACTAACTTCATTTAACTCAGATAGGAAGGAATATTTTATGATGCTAACACCCATGCTCCACATAGATGGTAGATTAGATTCGGGAAGTCCCACGAAACTTTGCTGTTCTTAGTTAGTCAGTAGTACTGAGAATCACTCAGCTTTGAAGGCTGTCAGGCATTTTAGATTAACTCGACAAACACCATGAGGCTGGTTCTCCCAAACCCTGGTCTTGATGACCGAATCCCATCTCATGCAGACCTGGAGAGGTTGGAGAAGGAGGAGGCAGGGGACAGGCCCAAATGGGACAACAAAGCCCAGTACCTGCTCACCTGTGTGGGCTTCTGCGTGGGACTTGGCAACGTCTGGAGGTTCCCTTACCTGTGTCAGAGCCACGGAGGAGGTAAGCTGGGATGAGGATCATTTTCTGTAAACTCAGTGTGTTCAAAGGTTCCTCCAAGAATGCAACATACAATAAACTTAAGATATAAAAAGAAAAGACATCAAATTCTGCAAGTCACACAAGGGTACACGTAAACGCAGGAATAAGTAAACTGTGTCCATGTAGAAAGTCAAATGAAATACTGTCCTGACTGAGTCTGGTGGTCTTGATCCGGCTGTGCTGAAATTATAAAAAATGATCTCAATGCATCTTTACTTGTTTCCAGAAGTTGATGATGGCTTTTCCAAAACTTGGTCAGTCTACATTTGGTTAAAGTTTAACCTAGTAACCTCACATCTATAATTATAATGGATTGTAACTCATTAACAGACCCATCTGAAGGTAATTATTATATTATTACTTAAAGGTGGGGTAGGTAAGTTTGAGAAACCGGCTCGAGATACACTTTTTGTTATATTCCATGGAATGCTCTTAACATCCCGATAGCAATGAATATCTTAAGTGCATTGACAAAAAATCTATAAAAAAAATGTCATCTGTGGAAGCCGTAGTACTGTAAAAAGCACGGCGATTTTTTTAATGAATTGACGTGTTGTAAAAAATATCTAAATGACGATCACACCTGGTAACAGTAAACAAGCTTTATCTATGCTATCACTAACATGTTCCTTCTATATCTGATAACGTTGGTGCCTCCCAGGTGCTTTTATGATCCCTTTTCTTATCCTGGTGGTCTTGGAGGGGATCCTGCTGCTGTACCTGGAGTTTGCCATCGGCCAACGCCTCAGAAAAGGAAGTGTAGGGGTTTGGTCTGCAATCAGCCCCTACTTGGCTGGAGTTGGTGAGTGCCTTCATTTGTAGTCCTATTTGAAATAATGGAAATCTGGTTTTCATGGTATTGAGGTAAAATGTTGAAAACACTTGCCCTACGCAGATCTTTGACATAAATGTATAGCTAACCCATTAGTTATCATCGCCCTGGTTCCCTCGACAAAGGCTAATGGGATTTTTCCATTGGGTTCCATCTGTGGCCAACAAGAGTTTGAGATAATCTTCACAAAGGAATACCACATTTATTATTTTTAAAGCGTAAATGTAGTTGCCAAGTAAAAATCTAACTTCAAGCACTAAATGTCAATACTACGGTCCAATGACCTTACCACATAGTAGTTGAGTTTCCACTTGCTTGGCTCTGACTCTTAATGTTCACCAACAACCTCTGTAGTCTCATTCAGCCACTTGACATCAAGTAGCTTAAAAAAATCCCAAATGGTACTGTATGTACAGACACATTTGATTTCCTAGAAACGTGATATGTAATCCTTATGTTTACCATGGACCTTGATTATGGGATCTAACCAAAATCCATAAAAACCCAACAAAAAACATACATTTCAAATCAAAGGAACCAGGAGTGCAAAAACGCTGACTTATTTCCTGATTTAAAGACTCCCTTTCTAAAGAACCCTATAATATATCCTTTTGCACTATGGAAGTATTAATAATTTCTGTGGTGCAATATTTAACACCGTTTCTTCCCCTTCTATTTCAGGTGTTGCGTCCATGACTGTCTCCTTCTTAGTGGGCATGTACTACAACACCATCATCGCCTGGGTGATGTGGTATTTCTTCAACTCTTTCCAGAGCCCCCTGCCATGGAGCCAGTGTCCTCTCAATGACAATCTCACAGGCATGTCACCATTTTAAAAACACATTTTCAATTTCAGTTTAATATTTCCGAATATGTTCTAAGGGGATGTCTTGTTTTTTCACCCTTCCTCTAGATCTAGTGTCTGAGTGCAAACGCAGCTCTCCAGTGGACTACTTCTGGTACAGAGAGACGTTGAACATCTCGGTGACGTCCAGCACTATCACTCAAAACGATGTCCACAAGACAGTTTGTCAAGGAGGATATATACAGATTTCGAAACGATCAACATCCCCAAAAATCAATTAAACGTAATGGAAAGGAGTGAACAAAAAAACTTCCTTATCTTCATCACAGTTCCTATTAACAGATCTATAAATTTTACACGATTTGACAAACTTACTGGAGGGGTCTCTATGGTAATCTGGAACCCAAGTGTCCACCTATGTCGCAACCCAGAACGGTATTTTTTTCCGTATGCTGACAGAAAGCAATTGTAAGTCCTATGAATCGCGACACTCAAGTCATTCGGTAACTAAATGATGTACTTGGTAACGTAGTACAATCAAACCGGCGTCGACGGCGGAACCAAAAAAAATATGAGGGTCTCTGAACACAATACGGTGCACTAGCAAATTAACCCAACAACCTTTGTGATTACTCGGTAGAAAACTCATTGTACGGACAATTCAATGTCCTGTTATTAACGGAACCGATGACGACACCGACTTTTGGATAGTAACGGAAAATGTAATAAAAAGTTTACGCCCCGGGTGCATTGATTTATTGTTATAAAGACTAAATTTTGAGATTGGAACCCAGCCCTATGCTCATATAGCAGTAGTAGACCCACACTTCGTACGTCTTGTAGTTACCGAACGGTTTTAGTAATCTTTCACTCTCGCAGTGGATGGAAACGGACACCCAGAGTTAGGGAGACCCTACGCCGTCTAATATCCTCGTGTGAGGTGCGTCATCGGTTTGTGTCTTGGTAGTGTGACGTGAGGAGGCCGGCA